TCCCTTCCTCTTGGCCAACCTTCCTTTTTTGAGAAATTTGAGTCATCTTTTTGTTGTCCCTCTTTCTCTCTTAGGTGTTTTAACTCTCAAAGATGGATGGAGGCAAATCAAAACTCAAATAAAAATCCTAAGAAATTTTCCTCCTTTTGTTTCCCTTTCTTGGCTGAAATACATGGACCAAAATAGCCTTAATAAGGCACATGTCCTAAGGGGATGGTTTTATATTTAGCTATTTTTAATTTAGGTGGAACACCTAATGAGGAGATTATTTCCTAGATTAATACATATTTAGGACATTAATTAAATTTTAATCCTAGGTTAGCACATGCATGGGACAACTTAATTAAGCTATGTTTATAAGTCCTTCAGTTGTCAATTAATTTGCTTTTATATACAAGCACTTAGTAATATTAATTTTGCAAACAAAACACTTATAAATATAAACACAAGCATGACATGCATATATTTAATAAAATAAACACACACAATGCATAGGAAATAAATTGGGGGGTATTACATAGTATTTTATGTTTTATTTTTTTTAATAATTTAGTTACTTTTTAGGTTTTTTTTTTTTATTAAAGTGGTGATGATGTGTCCTTACTCGTAGTATTTTTTGTTTTCAAATTATTTTTTATGCATTATTTCTCTCATTGATATACATCTATTTCGTTTTCTCTCTCTTCAAACACGAAAACAAATCTTATTTTTTCTCCTCAAATCTTCATTTCTTATTTTATTAATCTCAACTTGTTTTCTCTTTTCTTAAGTACTAAAAACGTACTCCCACACACACACACACACACACACACACATATGTGTGTGTGTGTGTTTGTTTGTTTGTGTGGAAGAGTACATTTTAATTGATATTTTAGATATTAGGGGAATTCTAAAATATATAAGCAAACCCATCAACCGATGTCCACTAAAAGTTTGTCTCTAAAGTACACAATAGTAACAACAAAAGTTCACACCTAGCCACCGATCTCCCCACTCTACTAAAATTTTGTCCTTTAACCTTATACGACGTCGTTTCTCCCTCTCCTCTACCTCCTCCTCTCTATCTCCCTCAAAAGCTTCGATTGAGACAAGTGAGCGAGAATTCCATTAATTGAGAGAGATAAAGAGAAATCACAACTTTAATTGATTGAGAGTGAGAATGTCGAAGAAGAAACCGACATCGACTATGTTGTTGAAGGACTTTCATGGTGGTTCTATTCCTTCTAATCTCTCTATTCCTTCGCTCCTAGCGTTAAATCTCTCTCTCTCTTTCGTATTAATTTAGCTTTTTTTTTTTGTTATTTCATCCTTCCTTGTGTGTGTTTTTGATCTACATTAAGTTGAGTTAGGTTAATTAATTTAATTTTATTTATTTTACTTCATTAATTTTTCAATTTTAAATCTTGAAAATATTTATTTATTATTCTTTGTTTGGTTCAGTTTGATGAAGCCTCGTTCGGATAAAGGTGCTTTAATGAATTAGGGAAATAGTTTAATGCGGCCAACATTTTGGGTTTTTAATTTGGGGATTTTTATTTTTATTTTTATTTTTATTTTATTTTTATTTTTTTTTTGGGATTCGAGCGACATGTCACTTAAGGGAAGGAAATTTTAATACTAAGCCACTTGTAACCTTACATGGAATTTGTGCCATGCTATCATGCTAACTCCCTCGCTATGTCGGTTTAAATTAAAATTTAATTTGAAAAAATTCAATTGTGCTAATATGGTTATCAAAAGCAAGCTTAATTCATGACCTTTTGTCCAAAATTGAAAGAACGTATTAATATGATTAAAAAACATAAAGTTCATGATTTTTTTGGGTACATTATGCCTTAAAAAAATTGTTTTTTTTTCTGATTGGCTTCTTGAATTAAGACTTTACGACTAATAATACATACATACATACATACATACATATATTTATATACTAGGGATGTATCTTTAATATCTTTTGAAAAAGAAGACATAATGTCAATTGAAGTATAAATTAGTTCGAGAATACATTTGATCATTGATTAAAAAATCTACAATAATCTTCAAATAAAAAAATTCAATTTCTATTTAAAACTAGTTCTTTTGTTTTCTTTAACATAGGTTGAGTATGGATTCTAATATATTATACAAACATTGAAGTATCAAAAAGTTATATTACATTTCAACACAAGCAGAAGTGGTGGGTTTCATAAAATTTTACGTTATTAATTGAATATGAATATTTGTATAAAATTCTATATAATTTATACGTCAATATAGCATTGTGTCAAACTAAATTATATTAATGACATGCGTTCTGTCGTGTGTGTATATATATATATATATATATATAAACACATTATCTGAGGCTAATTGGCATACTCTTTAACAATTTGCAATTAAAATACTAATTCACTCAACAAATTAAGACCACAAAAAGTTTGAAGTAGCTAAAGCAAAGAAGCTAAACCCATTATTTGTATTCTGTATTTTTATAAATTTGTTAAAAAAACTAATTTATTATTAATTTGATCAATTGAATATATATTTTTTTATTTCAATAAATTAAGTACAAATTATAAAATTAAAAATTTATCACAGCCAATTGATTTTTTTTTATTACATGATTCATATTACTAAAAAATTTTATTCATATTAATATCATTATCCATCCCATCTTTTTTATTGCATTTAATTGATTGAAATAAAAATATACAAACGCTCAATTGGTTTAAATAATAATAGAGCGATTTTTTTTTTTTCTAAAACTCATAAAGTGCAAAGCAGAGGGTTTCGCTAAGCCAAGCCAAGAGTGGAGAGAATTAGAAATTATTGCGAAGCGTAGGGCCCATTGTTCGAGTATGATGATGCGGTTGGTGCGCAGTCGTTTGACCTGGTGGGTTAGTTAGGAGGTTTCCGTAAAATGACGTGGTAGTTTGCTATTGTTTATTAAAAAATATATATATATTCTGTAGTAGTTCAATTTGGAAGCAATGTAGCATAAAATATGTTGCTTTCATGAGGTAGAAGGTTAAAACATAATTGGTGACCTTCTAACTGAAAAGTAGTTGTATTAATGTAAGCAACGACCTTTTAGAAGTAAATTATAAATTAGTAAATTTAGTTTTGCAAAATGAATTTAATAGTTATTTTATTTTTAAAAACTAATTAAGGAGTTCCTATTATATATTTCATATTTTTTTATTATAATTTTTGTTCTATTGTGTTTGAGAAATAGAAAATTTTAAAAAATACATAGTTGTTATGAAAATTTAATGAGAAAAGAAAAAATTATTTTGAAATAAATTAATATTAAATTAAGTATGATGATCAAAAAATTAATTAGTTAGTTTTTAAAATTAGAGAAATTATTTAATTCATTTTGCAAAATTAGTTGGACTAATTTATAATTTACTCATTGTTTGGCGATGTTAATTATTATTATTTTTTATTACAATTCAAATTAAAAAAAGTTAAGAACATAACAAGATGAACCTATCTAAGTTAAATACATGAACCTATTTAAGATTGATATAATAAAAAATGAGGAAAAATAACATAGATAAGTGCACCTACATAATCCTACAAACACAATACAATTATAAATCCAAATTACTCACTAAAAAAAAACATCTTACTAGCAATGAAAATCAACGATAGACATGAAATAGTTAGCATATAGCGACATGTTAGTGGATAAGTAACGATTGTTATCAATTTTTTGACATTTTGAGCTAATAGCAATGAAATATCGATTGATTATTGACGGAATTTCAATAACGTAAAATTATCATCATTGACTTAAGCGATAAATTTTTTTAGCGGGTAATTTAGAGACGGATTATCAATTGACTTGCGAGGAATTTTAATGACAAATGATTTTGCCTGTTGCAAATTTTGGACAAGATATGAGGAGATGATTTAAAGATAGAGTAAGATTGTTAAAAAAAAAAAAAAAAAAAAGCAAAAAATCAACGATAGAAAAAAAATTTTAGCGACGAAATTATGTCTATCGCTAAAAATTAACAAAAAAACATTATGTTGCAAATTATAGAAAAAATGATACAATTTAAAAAATCAAACAAGATGGAATCGCATCCCTTACTAAAAAAAATCCCTAAATATGATGGAATTCTTATTCTTTATCTATTTTTCTTCTCTTTCATTCCTCAGCTGCCACGCTCACTCTTCCTCTCTGTCCCTACCGACACAAACCGTCCGATCGCCCCACTCGAGCATATGTCGCCTGAAAATCCTGCCATATTTTCCTTCATTATTTGATTAGGACCTTAGCTAGGTTGACTGAAAGAAAACAAATGGTGTAAATGAGCACACGTGCATATATATATATATATATATCAGGTCCAGGGTGCTCATCAATTGGCTGTGGAGAGGACAGGAGCTCTCCTCATACATGGAACAATTTTAGGTACAGCTATAATTCATTTCTTAAATAATCTTCCCAAACAGTTATATATGTTAATTACTACTGTCAGCACTTAATTATTTGAGGGTACTTCATTATTCATGTTAATTATGCAGTAACATTAATCAATTTGCCTTTTATTTTTTATTTTTGTTTCCCAGTGGCCAATTTGTTGTTTGTTGAATCTCCTGTTTGGGTTGGATTTTCCTACTCCAATACTTCTAGTGATCTTAAATAACTTGGTGACAGTGTTACATGCACCACTTACCTATGTTGTCACCGTTTTTTATTTTTAAGAATTATATTGCTGAACTTATGAAAAATTCTTCCCGAAATCACTCAAAAAATTTTAACCATTGGATTCATGGGATCCATGCACAAATGGAACATACTAATTAAATGATAAAAAATTGTAGTATTTAGAAGAGATTTCGAAAACAATAATTGGTAATTACATTACAAATTTTTCTTTTCAATGTAATAAATTCCTCAAAAAATGTTTGCCATTAATTAATCAATTTCTTGTAATGATATTTAGCTCAAGATTCATGTGTGTTTCTTGTGAACTGGTTTCGAAGATTCCCACAGTTCAAGTCCCATGAGTTCTACATTTCTGGAGAAAGCTATGCGGGTACTGATTGATTAACAACTCATTATTATGATTTATCCTTTAATTAAGGATCACCTCTAGATTATGTTAATCATTTGACCCTTTTTTTTTTTTCTTTTTTTTTTTTTTTGTAGGGCACTATGTTCCACACCTTGCCGAGGTCATTCATGATAGCAACAAAAAAGTTTCCAAGAAAGATCACATAAACTTCAAGGGTTTTATTGTGAGTTTTGAAAAATGCATTCCATTTCTACTATTCATAGATACCCATTGCATGTTTTTGGAATTGAGAAATTAATTTCTACATAGAATTGCTTCATTAGACCAAAATAATTTTAATAATTGGTTGGCACAAAAGACCCAACTTCATTGGTATACTAAATCAAGATAGAGTGATTTATTGTACTAACTTCTAGATGTGTTTTAGACTATGCTGTGTGCTTGCATATGTGATAAGATAAAAACGGAACACAAGACCCGAAAATAATGTTACATAAAAAAAGAAAATTGTGCTAAATCAAATGACTCAATATTAATTACATACCATGGCTGTGCATGACTATAACAAACATTTTATTTTGCAGATTGGCAATGCCTTGTTGGATGATGAAACAGATCAAAAGGGGATGATAGATTATGCGTGGGATCATGCTGTGATATCTGATCGTCTGTACCATGATATTAAGCATAAATGCAGCTTCAGTGAGAAACATCCATCCCATGATTGCAATCATGTTCTATATGAATAATTTGATGTCTATGACATTATTGACATGTACAGCTTATACAGTCCCACATGTGTCAATAGCACCTCCAGCAATACCAGACACAGACCAGTTATTCAAGGCAACATTGCTCCACAATTGTTATCCACATTTGTAAACAATCGTCATTACACCCACCTTACTGAATTTATTGCAGTTCTTCTCTAATTCATGGTGATTGAGGTTGCTATTTTCTTCTCTTTTGAGCTGATAGGGTGGCACAAGAGACCTGCTGTTGGCTATGACCCTTTTGCATCAGACTACACTGAGATTTATATGAATAGGCCAGACGTTCAAGAAACACTCCATGCACCCCTCAATCAGACTAGCTTTTTTTCTTAGGCTTAATTTTTATTTTTATTATTATTGTTTTTATTTATCAGAGGCCCAATGGACCTATTGGCTACACAATAGGAGTGGATTTTTTCTTTAAATAATCATCAAATAAACTAGAGTCTCCAAAACTCGAACCTTGCTTTATTGGGGAAGTTAGCAAGGTACACAACCGCTACGCTAAGCCTACATGTGTTTAATTTTATATATATATATATATATATAATACAACAAATTTGTATATATTTTATTTGATTTTATATTATTTTTATTTTACACTCGTAATATTTCATATTATAATTTCATTTTTAGTTATTTGCTATTAAAATTAAAAATTAAACCACTAGTAAGGAATTAAAAAGAATATTATATTTGTACATTAGTGATAGAACAATGACCGACTAGCGATAAAAAAATAATTAAAGCTTAATTTTTTGTAGTGACTTCACGATGACCTAAAACGAATTAATATATACGTGGAAGCAATGATATGATCAGTGTCCTTCGAGTGTGTTTTGCCCTTTGTTTTTATTATGTCATGGGTTTGCTTTTAAGTAAAGTAATTGAAAGTACTAAATAAGTACTTGTTAAAAATTTTAATATTTCATTGCTAAATTTTTAGAAGGAATTTTGCCTATATATGATCTTTGTATTTTTCAAATTATTTTAATTGAGATCATGTATTCTTTTTTGTATTAACTAATTTGTTCTATTCTTTATTATTATTATTATTATTATTTATAGTCCTTTTGTTATAATATTGTTCGTTTGTAAGTTGACATAACACATCTACTCCTGAATGTATGAAACGGATCATATGTGGGATTTCAATAGAAGAACTCAATCAAAACTTTTAAAATAGTATGAGACTTCATTCAAAACAATTCAAAAAGTATAATGACCAAATTTTTTTTTTCTTTTTAATTTTCAAGTTATTGTTGTTTTAAGACCTCATCTTAAGGTGTTGTTTAGTTATCAATAAATAAAGATTCGAAACAAGCATACAAAAATTAAAATTAAAATTTGAAAATCGAAATAGTGAAGGATCATGTATCCTATGGAGATGCGAGATAAAATAAAAAAAAATTTCCCCGTCTAAAAGGCCCAAGATTAAGCCATTGAGTCTACTAACCATACATGCATGAATTGAAGTATTAAATAAATGATTACCTCTTGTAACGCAAATCTAAATTTTTTAATAGAAAAGAGCCGTCCGAGTGTCCAGCGTCTATTGATAACTCATGCGATCTAAGCACCTATAAAGAAGCACTCAAAATTGGTAGAGTTCTAGCTCCATCTCTTTCGATTTATGTAATGTTTCCTATAGAAATATAATCCGGATAATTTTGTGAAAATCTTAAAAGAAGAAGAAAAGTGGTGTGTATTAGGGTTTGAGCAAAAAACTATTTTCTCCTTTTTAATTTATTTATGTCATGTACCCCTAGAGAATTTTCTCTCTCGGCCGAAAGCTCTATCTCATAAAATTTCTTTAGTTGCTGCATCTCTTTCCTCCTATTTATAGGGGAGACTTTCCTTATCCTTTTAGGTCAAGGATGGCTGGCAACTTATTCTAAATAGGACTTATGGTTATTGCTTCCTAATCCTCTAAGGATTAGGAGTTATTTTGCATGTGAGTTTTTGATTTTTATCTTTAAAACATTCATCCTTATCTAGTGTGGTTCATGTTTATCATCCCACTAAAATATCTTAAGGCTTCTAATTAAACTTGTTAACCCAAATAATTAATTTGGACTATCTAAATAAATAAACTTAGATAATTTTAAGTGGCCCATATCAGCAAAACAATTTTCTTAAATACCCTTTAACCTAAATTACGAAACTAAGTTTCATTTTTGGGTTATTTGCTTTCAAATTTAGCACTAATTTCCAAATTAGGAAACTAATTTCTAAAATAGGAAACTTTTCATTTTAGAAAACTTTTCATTATAGGAAACTTTTTATTTTTGAAAACCCTTTCCAAAATAAGAAACTTTTAAAGTTGAAAACTTTTTTCCAATATCTTTGCTTCTCTTTAATCATGTGAATACTTAAACTTATGCGTGTGACTCAATAGGCTCCTAGATATGTTGGCAATGTATCAAGAATAAAAGGTACATCTTTTATCTCTTGATACATAAGTCGAGATTGGCCTTTAACAAGGTATCATGACTCGTCTAGTTTTCTAAGAGGATTAATTAATCCGTTATAATCTTTCATGAGCATCATTACCATAAAATTCAGTCCTCATGTCAACTTATCATAGCGTGATCCCAAACTTGGTTATAAATGTTGTTCGATTGTGATCACATAAGTTTTCTTCGATTCTCAATTGTTTTAGCTATTAGAGTAAATCAAATATGCTTTATTGGTGTACTCTTACTATGGTCATGTACTTATTGAGCGGACATTCATCGAAGTGTAGTGTGATAAATACTTTAGCATATAAGAAATGACATATCCTATCTTATTCATCCACCTAACTCCATTAGATTCCTAATGCACCTAATGAATCGTCCATATACAACCCTTTACTCGGGTCCATCAAAACGAGTGTCGAGTGCCTAAATTCTATAATTAGATAACTATGATGATTTTAATCTAAGGATCGGTTTTACTATCTCGTATGAGATTCTCATAGACCAAACCAAATGGGTTCTTATAATGAGTCAAGTCTAATGATATGTTCTCTAACATAAATTATCTAAGTGCTTGCTTTGACACCATCATTCTAATAGGTGTGAGATCTCCTACTACTATCAAATAGCATAAGCATAGCACTCACAAGTCTAACCACATATATTCAATGTTCATTCTTAACAATGTTGTGACTAGAGACATTTAATGATATCATTTATGAGCATTAGTTTTTGTCTCACATCTTTTCATTAATCACTAATGCAAATGCATATCATATGAACTTCTATCTAATTCTATTCAATTAATAAATGTAAATGATAAGAATTAATACAAAGACTTCTTTTATTATAAATAATACAATAATACAATAACTCATCCCATCTAAACATGGTTGGTTTTGGGCACTTACACTAACAATTAGGCCTTTTAGACGAAGAAAATTTTTGTTTTATTCTACACCTCCATAGGATGCATGATCCTTTAATTGGCATCGAGCCTCTATTGAAGTCATCATGGTCATCTCATTAAAGGATTTATACACTTTGACATTCGTCTCGATGGACCTAGTAAAGGATTGTATGTGAGTGATTTGTTGGATGCACTAGAAATCAAATAGAGATAGGTGGATGACTAAGATAGGACATGTCATTCCTTGTATGCTAAAAGAGTTATCACATTGCACTTTGATGAATGTCCGCTTAAGAAATCTATGGCCATCGTAGGAGACACTAATAAAGCATTGTTGATTTACTCTAAGAGCTAAGACATTTGGGAATCGAAGAAAAATTTTTGTGATCATAATCGAACAAGACTTATAACTAAGTTTGAGGTCACACTATAATAAATTGACATGAAGATTGAATTGTATAATAAGCATGCTCATAAAAGATAATAAAGGATTAATTAATCCTCTTAGAGAATTAGGTAGTCATGATGCCTTGCTAGAGGCCAATCTTGACTTATGTATTAAAAGATAAAAGATGTATCTTTTTTCTTGATACATTGCCAACATATCTAGGAGCCTATTAAGTCACATACATAAGTTTAAGCATTTGCATGATTAAAGAGAAGCAAATATATTGGAAAAAAAATTTCAATTATGAAATTTTTCCATTTTGGAAAGGGTTTTTAAAAATGGAAACCTTCCTAAAATGGAAAGTTTTCTAATTTAGAAGTTTCCTAAAATAAAAATTTTCCTATTTTAGAAATCATTTTCTTAATTTGGAAGTTAATTCCAAATTTGGAAGTGAATAACCTAAAATAAAAATGAGTTTCCGAATTTAAGTTAAAGGATATTTTAAGAAATTAGTTCCTAATGTGAGCCACCTAAAATTATCTAAGCTTATTTATTTGGATAGTCCAAATTAATTAATTAGGACAAAATGATTTTGGGCCAATAGATTTAATTAAAATCTTGAAAATATTTTGATGGGAGGATAAACATGAACCTTATTGGATAAGGATAAATATTTTAAAGATAAAGATCAAAAGCCCACATGATAAATAACTCCTAATCCTTAGAAGATTAGAAAGCAACAACCATGAGTCCTATTTAAGAGAAGTTGTTGCCTATCTTTGTCCTTGGAGGACAATAAAACTCTCTCCCTATAAATAGGAGGAGAGAGATACGATAACTAAGAGAGATAATTCAACAAAAGAGAAAAATTCTCTAGAGCACATAGCATAAAGAAAATAAAAAGAGAAAATAGTTTTCTCCTAAAAATCCTAGTACATGCCACCCTCCTCTTCCTTTTAGGTTATCATAAAATTACTCGGATTAGATTTCTATAGGAAATACTAAACAAATCAAAAAAGGTAAAGCTAGCGCTCTATTGATTTTGAGTGCTTCTTTGTGGTTGCTTGGATCGCTTGGATAAATAATAGAGGTCGAATGCTTTGACGACCCCTTTATTTGTTAAAGAATTTAGATCCGCACTACAAGAAATAATTCTCTATTCATTGCTTTAATTTATGAATATATGGTTAGTTAGTTCAACAACATGATCTTGGGCTCCTTAGATAGAGGAAATTTTTATTTTATTCTACACCTTCATAGGATGCATGATCATTCACTATCTCATAAACCAATATACAAAAACTTCGTAGGTTTAAAAGGATTCCTCAAGAGCAAGAAAGACATGGTCTTTTAGTCTCTACACATGGAGATATGTCTATTATATGAGACAACGAACCTAACTTCTATCAAGAGACAATGTTTGACGGATCATGTATTCTATAGAGGTGCAAAATAAATAAAAAATTTCTTCCATCTAAAGGGCCCAAGATCTTTCCATTAAATCAACTAATTATATATACATAAATTAAAGCAATGAATAGAAAATTACCTCTTGTAGCATAAATCTAAATAGTTT